CCCTTTTTTTACTTCTTTTATACTTTATCCCTAAGGTTTAACTACTTTAGCTTTAAAAGCTCTATAATAATAGCCTTTACTACTTACTTACTTAGGTTAGCTTAAATAATCCTTGACTTACTAAAGAGTATATACTTAATATACTTATAGTTAATAGGTTTCTATAGGTAGTTAGGCCTCTTATAAGGGTATTTAAAGTACTACTTCTTATTTTATAGTTTACTTTTTTTTATAAGGGTTATATATACCTTTATTACTTTATAAGATTTTATAAGTATTATTTATAATAAATTACTTAGTAACTTACTATATTCTCTTAAGGTTATTTATTATCCTTTATATTATTTAGTCTTTATAAGGTTATTTAGCTTACTGTTTACCTAGGAGAAAGTAATTTACTGCTTAATAGTGCATAAAAAGGTCTTAATTAAGAGAGTGCCTTAGATCTTAAGAATACTATATACTTTAGCCTTTATTAAGGTAGTATACTATTTTTTAAGCTAAGTAAATAAGTTATTTATTAATAAAGTATATATAAGAATCTTATTATAATTATTATAGGCTATATTACTTACTATATTATAAGAAAAAGTATATTATTATTTAATCTCTAAAATAGTTATATAAAAGGTAAAGTTAATATTATTATTTAGTAATTATAGCTATATACCCTTTATAATCTTTTTTATAATTATAGTATTAACCTAGCTTAATAATAGGTTATTTACCTTTTACTATTTATATATCCTTAGCTTAGTAAAAAATAAATTACTTATAGTAATAATCTATTTTTACTTTATTACTTTATTATTAATAGTAAGTACTACTAGCTAAATAGGCTTTTAGCTTTACTACTTTACTTACTAGCTAACTAAGAGGTTATTCTAGCTTATAAGGTTAGCTTTATATTACCTTTAGCGTTTAGTGTTTTACTTTATAATATATTTAGCTAGTGTAGGTGCTTTTAGGTGCTTAGGGAGCTTCTTTTTGCTATCTAGATTAATAAATTACTAGACTTTATATTAAGTAGTATAGAAGTAAAGCTTTATATACTATAAGAACTAATCTTTATATATAGTTAAAAAGCTATAAAGGTAAGTGTTAATTAGTAGACTTACTATTACTTCTAAAGGTATTATAGGCGTAAGATAAAGTTAAGAAAAAGTATTAGTTTTTAAGAAAAGTATTTCTAAGTATATACTACTTTATAATAGTAAAGGTTATTATTACTTATAAATTAAGTTAAAGCTAGGCTTATAACTATTATTAAGTAGTACGTTTAGGGGGTAATTTATATAGTTAAAAGTAGCTTATTTCTTCTATCTATAGTGCTATAATCTATGTTTCTTAAATATTGCCTTGCTTAGTAGATTCTGCTGTAAGTATTTATATTTAGGAGCAAGGGTTAGATTAATAAGCAACGTTATTCTAGAGAGCAGTATCAGTTAGTAATATCCTGCGTAACATAAGACTATTTAACTTATTAAATTAGCTTCTTTAGTATATATTATTAGTTAATAATAAGGGTAGACTTTTTACTTATCTTCTTATATAATAAAGGTATAATATTTAGGTTAATTTTGCTTAGCAGCAGTAGGCAGTTAAGTATTATAAATATTATAGTAAGTAAGTTAGTAGGTTAGTAAAGTTAACTTAGATAGGCTAGCTAATAAGCAAGTAGGCAAGTAGGTAAGTAGGTAGATAGGTAGGTTAATAGGTTAACCGCTTTCTATATTAGGACTAGCGCAGTGGATATCCACTAGCTGTTATTGGTAAGCTGCTAGCTATATACGGCTAGCTGGCTCACTAGTGGTCGACGAATCTCACGAGTGCGTACGGTACACCGCGCAGTGGAGAGGTTTCGACGCGTCCAAGTCCCTTGCGATCATCGCCTGACGTCACGATCGACGGTGACGGTGACGGTGTGCCAGCAAACGGCGCACGAACGAACGAACGAACGGGTGTGTTTCCATTTGAGCTCGGGTGGAATGCACCTCGTGTTCGCCATCTCCATCGACAATGCCCACCCGCTGAAAACATAAATCAAGGGAGGTAGGTCAGCGATCGCCTCGTCCTCGGCGTGCGCGGCGCGAAGCGAGCCGAGTTCATTCACCCCGGAGAAGCTGTCCCGGGACTACAACCTCCGTGATCCAGGCTTTGCCACGCGCGACGCTGTTGACACCAAACACTCTGCAGCCATGTGTGACAGATAGCCCAGTCCGCCTCCAAACTGCGCGCCGAAAAGGAACGTTTGTTGACCGAGACGAAGCCCCGTTCTTGGCGTCGTCTGTCTGTCTCTCCTTGTCCACACACCAACCCCATCGGTCAAGTTCACCGACGAGGCTCAAGTTCACCGAGCCACACACATGAAATGGTCCTCACTCTGGCTCGGGTTCCTCTCCCGCCCACGGCCTCAAATCGTCCCAAGGTGTCGCGGCCAACCCTTTGGGTTCCTTATCAGGGTCCGTCCCAGACCAACCAACCCACCCCGTAGCCGGCGTCATCTGATGAACTCCAGGGGCAGCGCGTTTTTTTCCCTCCCTTCCCGCTCCCGACGAACGCTTCTACCGCCGCGTGTGACCGGTGACAAGTGACGCTTTTGGTCTCATCTTGACTTTTATCTGCGGCCAATGGCAGTCTCCGTCGTTACACCCCTTCCCAGCGGCCCGCTGGAGCGCGCCGTGCTAGTGCGCGCACACTTGCGTCTTCACTTGAGATAATTTACATAAACACCGCCAATGTGACCGGTCCTTATCGCTTCCCAGGTATCAGAAACGCAGCATCAGAAGCCTGGTGAGCGAGGTTCGTATGACCCCGAGTGCCCACCACGATGGCCTCGAGTCTGCAGACATGTCGCTGATAGTAACGGGAGAGAGGGGGGGCGGCGGCCCTGCGCGCATCTTCAACTCACGATAAAGGGGTGTTGCCCCCGGGGGGGGGACGTAAGAAACCCTCTCTCCCGTTGCCGGGTTCACGGGAAACCACATCAAAGGCGCGAAACCACTGCTGTTACGTTACGTCTTGTTTGCTACCGAGACGACTGCCGAACAGTAGTCATCACCATGTCGAAACCCCTCCCTCCCCGCCCCGGCGACGAGCGCTCCCCGCTGCTCCCCCTCGACGACCCAGGCCCGGACCCCTCCGGCCTCGTCCTCTTCCGCCGCGCCGTCGGGATCAACGCCCGCCACGACGACGACGACGACGCCCTGGAATCCTCCCGCGCCGCGCCCCTCGGCATCTACGCCGCCGCCGTCGCCGCCCACCGCCGCCAGCGGGCCCTCCGCATCGCCGCCGCCGTCACCGTCTACGCCTGCCACGCCGCCCAGCTCGTCGTCGGCGCCATACTGACCTCCTTCGGCCCGTCGGCCGGCACCCACCGCGTCGGCATCACCGCGCTGGGCGCCGTCAACACCGTCGTCGCCGGCGTGCTGACCTGGGCCAAGACCCGCGGCCTGCCGGACGTCCTGCGGCGGCGCGAGGCCGAGCTCCGCGGGGTGCAGGACTGGATCGAGGAGATGGAGGCGCTGCTGGCGCTCGGCGTCGTCGGCGGGACGCGCCAAGAGGTCGGCGCGCTCATCGACGAGGCCTTCGGGCGGTGGCGCCTCGCCAACGAGCGCGGGGACGACGGCAGCCCGGAGGCGTACCATGGCGACGAAGGCGACGACGAGGAGGGGAGGAATGGGAAGGGGCTCACGGCGAGATGGCTGCGAGGGCGGTGAGGCTTCGTTGTTCGTCACGGTTTGGCAGATGTTGTTTAGATACCCCAATCTCATGCGTTTGAATTGGCAAATGCCCGACGTGGTCTCGTTACAATCTGGCCACACTCGCCGTGAATCCTCCTGAACGGTTCCCTTCTTACAGCTTGGCCCTCGCAATCGAACTATTCTCCCCGCTCTTCCGATTCCTCCTCCCCCTTCTCAGCAACGGGATGTCGTCCGTCACGCCGGGGATCTCGTTCTCGCACCACTCGTGCCCGCCCAGCCCGTTGACCAGAGCCCGCGCGAACCCGTCCCCTCCGGCCGGCCCCCCGACCAGGACCTCCTGGTCGAGCGACCCGACGCAGATGCTGGCCCCGTCGTCCCCTTCGACGCGGTAGTACAGCCACGAGCTGCACCGGTCGCAGAAGCCGCGCTTCGCCACGGGCGTCACGCTGTACTCCCGCAGCGTCGGCGTCCCGCCGGCCGACGACCACCGTAGGGGCCACGGGACGCGGTGGAAGGCGACGAAAAGGGCGCCCGACTGCTTGCGGCACTGCGTGCACTGGCACGTCAGCGCGCCTGACGCGAAGTCGTGCGAGGCGGGGAAAGTGACGGTGTACCGGAGGGCGGCGCAGAGGCAGCCCCCGGTTATGGTCTTGGGCTTGGGACCCAGCTCCGCGGAGGACATGTTTTGGATGGCCGTGTTGGGAGCCGGAGATGTCTGGCGGCTGACGAGAAACGGTATCGTAGAGTCAGGTTAAGGATGTAAAGCCAACGTTGAGATTTGGCAACGGAGATGTATCTCTTGGGAGTTGGAGCTTTTAGATCGGTCTTCTTGGACGATCTTGAAAAGAGGAGAAAGCTTGAAGCCGCAGCTTATGCATTGTCAACTGCTTTTATGCGCAGACCTGTGTGGCGAGACGTGTGTGTGCTACGTCAGAGTTGTCAATAATACGCCCTTTGGCGCGGGGACAGGAGTTGAGGGTTGTGACCGGGCCGTCGATAAGTTATCAAGGAAGAATCATGAGATGAGCATCTCACAGTACGGCCCAAGCCAGGCGTCCTATGCAATACAACACATCAAGGGTGAAATGTCGTAAACTCTTTCTTGTTCTTGTGCTGTCTCTAAATCGGCCGTTATACCTGCGTCCCTAGGCTCGATGTTCCCAACATCGTCCCGTATCGCAGATTCATTATGCATGCCCGCCCGAGGTGACGGGCATCCCCCCCTCCCCCTCCTCCCTCCCGCTTGGCATATCACCGTCGCCCTATACCGCTCACCGGTCCTCCTCGTCCTCGGCGACCCAGTAGGCCTCCACCTCGGCGATGCACGTCCTCGCCGGCACCGTCACGGCGATGGGAAACCCGCCGTAGTCCGGGTCGTCGTTGGGCATGATGAGGAACGCGCCGCTGCGCGTCTCGTCGCCGTTCAGCACCCGCAGCGTCCGCAGCGTCCCGTCCGCCGCCGCCTCCTTCTCCGCCGCCGCGAGGATGCCGGTGAAGGTCGCCTCCCGCCGCAGGCTCCGGAACCGGACGTTGAACCCGCGCCCGACGGCGAGGAACCGCGCGCCGCCGAGGTGGATGACGAGCCCGCCGCCGGGGCCGGGCTTGCCGAAGACGAAGGCGCGCTCGACCGTGACCTCCAGGTCGCCGAACGCCCGCGTCCACCTCTCGCCCCGGCCGCACGCGTCGACCTCCTCGTCGAAGAAGAAGCCCATGCGCTCCTCGGGCCGCGCGGCGAGCAGGCACGGCGCCACCTGCGCCAGCAGCTTGAACTCGCGGCCGACGACCTCGGCGCCCGTGTCGATGCCGAAGGGGCTCGCGCCCAGCGCCCCGTACGTCCCGTACGACAGCCACACCCGCCGCGCGCCCTTCTCGTCGCGCCGCTGCTCCGGGATGAAGAGCGGGTTCCCCTGCGCCGTGTAGTCCCGGCACACGGCCTCGTAGTTGTGGAAGTACAGGTCCGGCGCCAGGAAGTCGAGCGCCTTGTCCTCCGTCAAGATCGTGTTGTGCCGCCAGATGTCGAGGACGTGGGGGCAGGGCCCGCCCGAGGGGTACACGCCGGGCTCGGCGCCGCCGCCGACGATTCCGTCGGCGGCGGGGACGCCGCGGAGGTCGAGGTCGGACAGGTCGTCAAAGTTGAGCCACGTGTTGGTGTACATGGGGATGTCGTACTCCCTCTTGCCCGCGGCGGCCACGCGGCCGACGTACGACGAGATGTGGTAGGCCATGAAGGCTTCGTCGGCCGCCGGGCCGCCCCCGAAGACGTCGTTCCACGAGTGCGCGCCCGACGCGGGGGCCTCGCCGAAGCGCGCCCTGAACTTGGGGTGCAGATCGGCCGACCGTCGTCTCAGGTGGTCGAGGAGGCCCTCCGGCACGGGTTCCGCAAAGGCCTTGTCGGCGCGGCGCGAGCGGTCGCGCGAGTCGCCCAGCAGGCCGGTCTCGTTCTCGACCTGGATCATGAGGACGGTGTTGTGCTCGGCGTCGACCCGCGCGAGGTGGCGGCACAGCTCGGCGAAGGCGCGGGAGTCGGCCCTGCACGCCTCCTCGCTGAGCGGGCTGACCATCTCGATGGTGCGCTTGACGCCGCCAGCCTCGAGGCACTGGACGCGGGGGAAGCGCTTCGTGTCGCGCTTGACCCAGTGCGGCGCATACGTCGAGATGCCGTTCTTGTAGGTGCCGAACCACAGGAGAACAAGGTGCATGCCGTGCTCCCGCGCGCCGTCCAGCACGGCGTCGAGTTCCGAGAAGTCGAACCGGCCCTCGACCGGCTCGATGTCCTCCCAGGCCACGGCGCCGAGCAGGGTGTTGATGTGGTTGGCTTTCATCGCGGGCCAGACCTCGGTCATGAAGCGCGCAGAAGACATGGAGGAATTGTGCAGCTCGGCCGAGAGCATGAGGAACGGCTTGCCTTTGAGGATGAGCTGGGTGTTGCCATTGCTGCGGCGGAGATGGGGGAGCTGTGATTCCGGGGATTCCTCGGCGGCCGTCATGGCGGGCGAGAGAGACTGATGATTCCGTCTAAGAGCAGCGTGAAGAGATCAGAGAGAGATGAAGAAGGGGGGGTTGCATGAGGAAGAAAGACGAAGGAAGAGGGTCGGTATAACAGAGCAGGTAAGCTAGAGACGGCCAATGGCAAAGCCTCGTTGCATGTCGTCCGGGTGAAATAAGCTCAGATGGCCTTCGAGTGAGCATTATATCATCGGGCTGCTTCCACGTCGTCTGACAACTTTCGGCATGGTCCCCGTTACCACGGCCTCTGTCCGCCCTTTACTTCCGACGGTAAGTTGCTGCTGGTACATTCGTCCACGCGGGATACCGCCCGCTCGTCCACTTGAACCGCTTCAGAGCGAGAGACTCCTGCACACTTGTGGCCTAAACCGGGGTGGTAGCAAGATCGCCCGACAGTAGGGCCGATTGACATCCCCCCCTCCTCGGCTTTTCTTCGCAAGACCAACAAGCTCATCCATGAGCCGTACGTGTGCTGACCCCAGCTGTGTTCTAGGTATTACCGGTAGGGAACACAAAAACCGCTGTTGGCGACAAACGTATGAGCGTCCCTCGCCCAGATATGATCCTTTGCAGTTAGCACACCCCACGTCCGGCCTGATTCCGGTTGGTAGGGAGCTGCCGGGCCCCGGTATGAATCTCATCTCGGAAATACTTCGCATGTGTTTGTTGGCCCCTCCCCCCCTTGTAATTCACAATGATACTGTACCCGGCTTCGGAATCTTTGGAGAAGAGAACTACCCCGCAGTACGACATAACGCAAGGCATATGGAAACCATTGGATGAATGCGGGGAGTTACAAGGTTGTTGGACATGGTAGCCGCCCTCGAACTGGAAATATGATGGCCGGTTCACGCCAGTGAACCGCCGTACCTCGGTTCTCTTGGGGGGGGGGTTATCTATATTGGGTAATTATCTACTTTTACGTCTTTCACAAGGACCGCCTTGGACAAGTATCTCAGCAACTTGATTTGCTTTCTGTGTCGCACACACACACACACAAGTCCCCTTATTACCTAATAGCACCTTTACTACTATGAAACATATCTAGTAGGTAAGAAATACATATACTAGTAATATAGATAGTCCAGATAAACTTAGTGCATCTGAATTATCCTAGTAAGGCCAAAAGTTACGTATAGGTAGGCGGCAAGCCTAAGGAATAAGTGGTAATAGTAGTGGTAATAGTAGTGGCTCGGATGTAGGGCGGGGTGGTTACTTTCCCTCCTCCTTCATTGCCTGCTACTCTGCTGGCCCTCGACTATCACGGAGGGCCCCGGCCAGCAGTCGATATCGTCCAACTTCCTCAGCAGCCTCTCCAGCTTGAGCCTCGCGCTCTCGCTCACCAGCCTCTGCGGGCCGCCCAAGCCGCTAATGTTCATCTGCTCCATGTAGGCCGCCCCGCAGTCCCTCAGCTTCGGGATCAGGCTGCTGCCGTTCTGCTCCAGCACGTGCTGCGGTACGCGGTACAGGATCTCCAGCAGGTCGTCGACGATGCGCTGGTGCTCGAGCGCGTGCGTCTCGACGGCCGACCCGAACTTCTGCAGCAGGTTGGAGCGGATGTTGAGGCCCGTGATGAGCAGGTTGGCGATCTGCGTGTCGTGGCCCTCCGTCACGTGCGGCGGCCGGGACAGACCCCCGCGCCAGCGCAGCTCCGGCGGGAAGACGTCCGTGATGGCCTGGATCCTCGACAGGAAGTGCTTCAGCGCCTCTTCCTGCCCGCCGAAGAGGCTGATGGGGGCCGTCTGCGCCTCGTGCCACGTCAGGAAGAGGTCGCTGAGCTGGTTCAGCCCCGGCACGTACGACGTCGCGTCGCCGTGCCACTGCGCCAGTTCCGCCGTCGACAGCTGCGGCCCCGTGTCGAGTTGCGAGTCCGTCAGGGGCAAGGGGCGCAGGTGGGCGCGGTTCTCCTGGTGGGAGACGAGGCTCACCGACAGCTTTCCGAATATGTCTGCACTGCTGCAACGAGTAATGAATGTCAACGGTTGACCGAGCGCTATTCTCCGTCCCATCCCCGGCTTTCCGTGGGGAATACGTATGTGGGAGCTGCTATATGGGGGAGGGGAGGGGAGGGGAGGGGAGGGGAGGGGAGGGAATAAGGGCTCGGCTCCCGTCGCCCACTTACCAATATGCCGCAAACAGCAGCCAAAAGAGCCGCTTCAGCAACTGCTGCTGAGACATGTCCAGGTCCGCCATGCGGTAGTAGACCAGAAACCTCACCCCCGCCGCCGCCTCGGACATGCCGTGGAACGACCCCATGTCCCCGAGCCCGTCCTCGTTCATCGAGCTGGCCGAGGTGCCGATGTTGTACATGGCGATGCACCAGTCCAGCGAGTACGACGGCTTCCTCAGCCCGTGGTCGAGGAGGCCGTGCTCCTCGATGAAGTCCAGGCACCGCTCCACCGTCACGGGGCCGTAGTTGTTCCGCCGCAACGTGGCCGTGGTGGCGGCGCAGACGCTCACCAGCAGCGCGCAGAACGTTCGGTCCGTGTTGGCCTCGCCCGCCCTGAGGCGGTGCATGAACCGCCGCCGGTGCAGCACCGGCGCGAGCGCGTGGACTTTCTCGAACCAGTCGTCCAGCATGCGGTAGACGAGCTCCTCGGGAGCGAAGAGGGAGAGCCAGTCGCCGTGCTGGTCCGCGCTGGGGCTCGGCGGGCCTATGATGGCGCGCAGGTCCGCCGCTGAGCGGCTGGCGGCGCCGGCAGCGACTACGACGCGGGGCTGAGGGAGGGTGCGGGACTGAGGTGTCTCAGTGGGATATGAGGAAGTTGGTGAGCCCTGGTAGCCGAGACCTTGGTCCGGCGATGTGACATCTGATACGGATGCCGGCGGGCTCTGAAAGCTGGCGGTGGATGCCGTGGCAGAGCCCGGCTGCTGGTGCTGCTGGAGCTGGCGGTGCTGCTCTGCATGTCTGCAATTCTTGGTCAGTCTATGGTATAAAGCCAGGCAGAACCCAGCGATTCAGAGACCGGGGTTGAACGGAACTTGTTCGGCGGCCCTCTTCGCCTCCGCGGCCGATCATGTGTGCAACGTATGTCGAGAAACGTGCACCCTTGGCATCGGCCTCCCCCCGGTCCGTACAGGCACTGCCGACCATGTTAGTCAAGTCTGGTGTTTAGGTGTTGGTGAAGTAACAGTCAACTGAGTCATAGCCACCGGGTACTTGATCCGATGGAGTACGAAAGCAAGCACATATTCTTTGGGGGGGAAGGGATAGCCATATTGTAGAAGAGATTCAGTGAGTTTTCTGACTCACCCTAACTTTACGGTCCCGGCAGGCATCGCAGGCGTTCTGGTTCCTGATGATCTTATTCTTGGGCCTCGGCCTACTGCTACCACTGACGGGCGAGGTGAGATCCGTTGACAATGAGGAAAGGGGCCTGGTTGTATCCGGCGGTTGCGATGCTCCGTCCAACTCCATGGCGCCCCGGTCAACTGCTCGCAGGTATCCTGTCGGTTAGTCCAAGTCCGCAAAGGATGGGCACCGGTAATGTCAGGTTACCTACATCATACCACAACATGCAGCTCGAGCTTCGTACGCTACCTGGACGGACCCACCAGCTGGAACTGAGCCGCTCTGCTCCACCGCTGGGCTGAGGTACGCCGGTCCCTGTTTCGTTTCGTACGGCGTGCTTGGTTGGTTCGTCTAGACACTAGGTGCTTGGTGGCTCGATCCTGTGGTAGTTCTCCGGTCTGGTCTGACCTGTCAGTGGCAGGTCGGATCGGCTGTATTGCGGAGAGAACTGGTCTTGGCAAAATGCGGCCCGTGGGGGCATGGTTGTTCCGGTGATACTCCCGCGTTCGCGCTGTCTCTAAGAGTCAACCGCCAAGACCGACGAAGGAGGGATAAATGAGGGGTTGTAGAGATGAAACGAGAGAGAGCATATTGAAAGAGGCCGGTCCGAGGAGAAACATCGGGGCTTGCGTAGGTCTAAAAGCATACTGGACCGCCATCGCGTTTGCGGGGGAAAAGCCCTGCACCAGGCCGTCATGGGTCGAGTCACACCTAAGCCTCGAACGGCATAGCTTCAGACGGGTCAAGAACTCTATCGTTCCCGCTCCTCGGTGTAAGTATGCTCCGGCGGGCGTTCTCGACGACTATTGTATGCAACTGAGTTATGCGTGCTGCTTGCTGGTTGGGCCGAATTACCGGGATGCGCGTTCTCTATGATTCTATTCAACTGAACACACCACCTCATTCCCCGCAAAAAAGATACACGGCTGGCACCAGAAGGGGCCATGCGAGCAGATTTCCCGGATTCCAATGCGGGGAGTGTGGGGAGCTCGTTATTGGACCCTGCCCTCGAGGTTTCGTTCCGTCCACTCTTGTCTCTAGGCTCATGATGTTTCGCCCCTGACGCAGACCTTCCGGTCCACTGTCGACCAAAGCCTCGGGTATCTCTCTTGGTAGACCTCGAACCCGTTTCGTGACGCCTCGTAGGAACAAACAGCAGCAGTTGCTCGACCCCTTTGACCTGTGATTGGGTGTAGCACCTCTGCCATCACCGTCGCGGCGGTGGACTATTGAAAGGGGGGTCATTTGATGCACATCGAGCGAAGTCGACATTGCAGGCCCTGGAAATACCTTTGGGGTTCTTATAAGTACACTCGTTCATGCATCGATTTCGAGGGACATGGGATGAACAGCCCGGCGCCCCGGTAGCGACGAACAAAACGCCATTTCCTCTCTGTCCGTTCAGTCTTCAGCTACGATCCCCTTTTTCGCAAGTCTCGGGAGCTTGCACCTAGACAAATCCAGCAATGGCACGCGAGCAGAAGGAAAGCGGTGGCGTTGACCACGTCGATGTTGTCGACATAAACGATGCTCATTTGCAACCTCCCGAGGCAACGACGGCACCATGGTACAGGCAGACCCAACTCAGGATGCTTTACCTCAATATGGTCTTCCTCTTCCTGGGATCTACAACCCTTGGGTACGACGCCAGCTTGCTGAACGGCCTCCAGACGATGCAATCGTGGCAGGGCTGTAAGTGCATTGGCAACCTCTCGTTTGGCTGGTTATAGGAGCCGGTTCCCTTTTCTGCTCACTATGACGAGAACTTCGGATGGAGTTGTCCTTCTCCTGTGCTAACCAAGCTCTCGCTTGCAGACTTTGACCATCCCGCCGGAAGTCGACTCGGAATCTTCGGCGCCATGCCCGGCTTCGGCGGTCTCTTCGTCCTGCTCTTCGCTCCCTACATCGCCGACGGTCTTGGCCGGAAATGGGGCACGGCCATTGGCTGCATCATCGTCATATTCGGCGCCCTGCTGCAGTCCTTTCCCGTGGGCGCCGGCTCCAAGAGGGACGCCATGTACCTCATCGGCCGCTTCATCATGGGCGCCGGCTCCAACATCTCCAACGCCACCTGTCCCCTCCTGATCACCGAGGTCGCGCACCCACAGCACAGGGGCAAAGTCACGACCCTGTACAACACTCTCTGGTACCTCGGCAGCATCATCTCGGCATGGACCTGCCTCGGTACCCTCGTCAACCAGTCCGGAAACATCCAGTGGAGGCTTCCCACGGGTCTGCAGTGCTTGATGCCGGGCATCCAGCTGCTGTCCATCTGGTTTCTCCCAGAGAGCCCGAGATGGCTAATCAGCAAGGGCAAAGAGGCCGAGGCTCGGCGCGTCCTCGTCAAGTACCACGGCAACGACAACGAGAGCGACGAGTTCGTGCGCTGGGAACTAGCCGAGATCTCGACTACTCTGAGGCTGGAGAGGGAGGCTTCCTCGCAGAGCGGATGGATGGAGCTGGTTCGCACCCCCGGCAATCGTAAGCGCTGCGGGCTGATCATCGCGACGGCCATCTTCTCTCAGTGCAGTGGAAACGGCCTGGTGTCGTACTATGTATGTGAGAAAAAGAAAAAGAAACGGTCAAAGTTCATACCGAGGCGTCTGCTAACTCGGCTTCTCCAAGCTTTCCGTCATTCTCGGTACCATTGGAATCAAAGAGTAAGCCGTACCGTCCGTACCGTTCGGTGCCGTACATGAAGTTTAACTGAATGCTCCTTCCAGCTCGATCACTCAGTCATACATCAATGGCGGGCTTACAATCTGGTCCTGGCTCGTCTCCCTTACTGCGGCCTTCTTTGTTGACCGAATCGGACGCCGCGTGCTCTTCCTCTTCGCTGGCGTGGGCATGTTGATTTCCTTCTCCATCTGGACGGCCTGCAGCGCGGTATACGCCCAAACCGAGTCGTCCTCGGCGGGTATCGCCGTGGTTGCCATGATATTCGTCTTCTACGGTGTCGCCGGAGCTGCCTGGCCTGGTCTGACCGTGTCGTACACGGTCGAGATCCTGCCATTCAACATCCGCGCCAAGGGTCTCAACCTCTGCTTCTGCTTCACCGCGCTCAGTGGCGTCTTCAACCAATACGTCAACCCTCTAGGTCTTGAGCAGTTGCAGTGGCGGTTCTATTTTGTCTACATTGCTGTGTAAGCTCTGTGGCCTCGCTCTATACGGGGGAAAGTATTAGCTAACAAGTCTCCTGCACAGCCTGGTCATCGAGTGTCTAGTCATCTACTTCTTCTTCGTCGAAACCAAGGGTCCGACACTGGAAGAGATTTCTATGCTCTTCGATGGTGAGGACTCTGCGGCTGGAGTCGCCAGAGTCCATGCCCAGCAGAAATTTAAAGAAGTCGAAAAGACGGCGGTGGTCTGAGTACAGCGGCCAGAAGAAATCTGCTTGTGTTGCGGTATCACCCACCGGCCCAACCGGTGGTGAAGCGGAGCTAATCTGAGGTCATGTGACCTGCCTTGGTTGCTTACGTTCACGTGATATCTACAGCAGTAGCTACTTTCTCCTTCTTTAACTAATTAATTAACAACCTTAGTAACTCATAGTTTATCTACACTATTACTACTATCAATCAATTGCCTGTAATACTAACAGTTTAATAATTTACAAACACTGCTTTGGTTTGTAATAGAGGGCAATTTCACTAACAAGGCCATTGTAAGTTTGACTTCTGGTATGGATTCCAAAACGCTCCGCATAGAGTGAACTTGCTTTTGATTTAATATTCTATGGGAAAATCCCAAGAGGCAGGTTGCCGAAACAGGTCAGAAATCTAGTATAATCAGAAGATCATACAAGAGTGCCTCTCTCGGGTCAGAGATTAGGTAGTCATGCAAGCATTTTGCTCGCATAGCTGCCCGTGTTTTTGCCAAAGTCAGTCCAACATTCCTCAAGGCACCGCATGAAACTGAACTAAGGTTCATTATATCAACATCCATCTCTATTAGATAAATTATCGCTAATATATAGCACTCTTCCAAGATATTATAACCTTGGCGCGACGATCGTCAAGCTGATCGTCAAGCTCTCGTATTTGGAAGATGCATCAATTTAACACCGAAGCTCTCCAAACAGATGAACAGCCCAAAAGCACTAAACTAGGCACAGGGGCAGACAGGAACGTCGATGACCTGGCCGATGGCGATGTCCGTAGCCACGACATCCGGGTTAACAGCTTCCAGAACGCGGTAGTTGAGGCCAAGCTTCTGGGCGATGATGTAGAAAGTTTCGCCTGACTGGACGGTCCAGCTATCGGGTCCTTTGATGACACATGGGGCGTCGCCACCCGAGGAGGGCAGGCAGGAGGAGTTGTCGGGATCGCAGAGGCTGGTCGGAACCTTCAGGGTAGTGCCGGCAAGGACGTAGTTGGGGTTGCTGAGTTTGTTGAGCGAAGAGATCTGGCAGATGCCCGACTTGTACTCATTGGCGATCGAGGTCAAAGTGTCGTTGCTCTTCACGACGTAGTCGATAGTAGCGCCCGGGCAGGAGGTGTTGCTCTGTTGTTCAACTCGTTAACACAACGTCCCTGATTGTCACCGCAGATGTCTGTCGTAACTGTCGATAGCTTGGAGGAATTTTTGGGCGAAGACGACAAAACTGGTTGAACTTACAGGCAACGCGGCCACAACACCAACGGCGGCGAGAATGGAGAAGAGTCCAGAGATCTGCATTTTGATTGGTCGAGTTGGAAGAGTGCAACAATAGTTTGATACGAGTTAAACGGGTGAATAAAAGTTGGTATTGGAACAAGTGTTGTTTTCTAAATGAGTGACTGGATCGAAGAGCTGGAGGCTAATGATGGTTCCAAAAGCCTTCCACGGCACCAGCGACCCTTCCGCTACTTATAGAAGTCCTCGCCTGTCCCCGAGAAAAAAAGGGAACCGACGTCTTGGCTGCGTGGGGGGTAGCATTCCGGATGCTCGCAAGGAACCCTCGGCCACGACGGTGTGTTAGTGGGACTTGGAGGCTCATTGGGCTGTACTACTATGTAAAAGCATCTTGGTGTTCATTCGTATCGTTTTGACTTTTTCTCCTAGGTCTCTTCCGACAAACAGGCACAGCCATCTCCACAGGTAACCCTGATTTGTCGTGATTCCCCTACCATGGCGTTGGACTTCCTAGTAATCTCGGGCGACGTCACGCCTTTGGCAAGTTAAACAGTGTAAAATTATTGGTTTCGGGAACCATCTTGATTCGTGTCCGTCTTAAAGTTTTGGGGATCCTTGCAATATTGCTCAAAGTCATTATAAAAATTGGGGCAACTTCTCTGTAAATTTGATCGACGTGCTCTTATTATAGATGGTGACTTCTATATGAGGATACGATGATAAGGCTGCCACCCAATTCGTCCTTATCATACCCGATTCCGCAATAGCAGAGCAAGGCATTCTTGAAAACATCAACATTGTCATAGGTGCAAATTGATTGAATCTTCAATTGCACTTGACTGACGTCCCATGTCAATGTGCGCGCAATTGTCCACGTCATCTAACCTTCGGGGGCATGGACGAGTATCCGCGTTCACATGACTTTCAAACCATACTCCTGTTACCAAAGCTAAATCACACAGACTGATCAAAATCTTAGTCTTGTGTCCACACGTACGCCGGGCATTCTCTCGAGAGTTTGGCCGATACCGGGAGGTCTTCTCCACTCACCAAAAGTACAGTTCTGGGTACCCCTCAGACCAACAAGAGTTTAATTTGGCCAAATTCAAACACTCTCGGTGATTCCGAGAGTCCCGTCCGGCTCGAAGTGTACAATACGCAAGGCAGTGCCTGTCCAATACCTGAAATTGCTCAAGGCAATAAGCCGCGAGGAGCAATGCGGCCGCGTCTCATGATCCAGAAGGCGCCACACGGAAACAGGAACGGGGTTGACTTCTGTAATCTACATCTAGGCCATAAGTTTATTGGTATTGGATTGCTCTAAACTTAAAGGCGTGCTGTACACAAAGGGCCCAGTTATACGATTCATGACTTCCTAGTTTCGCGGAACCCTGCGCCGGTCGAGCTACATAGGGCATACTTTTAGGACAGTAGCAGTTAACGTTTAGTCCTATTAACATCCTGTTCACTGTCAGTCGTGAGATTGGATGCTGTTCTACGCCTGTACTTCGCATACGGAACTTGTTTCGTCACTGCCATCGACTTGGCGCCGTTGAAGGTGTGCTGCAATTGATTGAAGAATCTTACATAGGGGGCGGTCTTTGGTGAGGGTCCGAAAGAAATACACGATCCTCCACTACCAGTGATGTACAGTTCATAATTACGGATAGACACTCGCAAATTAATTGTATCTCCGCACTGGTCACACCCTGTTATTTCCTCACCCATTGTGTTATTTAACCCGACTAGGATCAGCATGCTCAGCAAGTCCAAAGGTCCGTCCCACTGCCGTTACTGCCGTCCACGGGGATGAATGAGTAGCTTCGGCACTAAGAAGTAATTTCGACCGAGACACGTACTTTCAAGGCGACGATGGCAGTGAATTCAACGATGATCTCGATCCGGTAGCTTGGGACCGGCTCACGCCCCGTTAGTTATACTTCGGCCACCGGCAAAACTGCCCCGTCGCTCGAACAGCATAACCCCAGCTATGATTTGGCTCTCCCTGATCAAGGACTAATCCACGGAGTTCATTGCTAGGACCCTGCTGCTGCCGCTTCCATCACCGCCGCTTCGGCTACCGTCAGTGTCGTCGCCGGAGCTACCACACAATATGCACATATGTTCACACTCATCGTCATTGTCTTCTTTTTGGTTCTTCGTGTGCTTTCTCTTGTCCGTAGATATTGCCATCCATTATACTCGATGGGCGCCCCAAAGCGAGAAAATCGCATTTGTCACCAATGCGTCCAAGCGGTGACACCAGTCTCTTCATCTGGCAGGAATTATCAGCTGAGGATCATGACAGCGCTCGTGACATAGATATCACTTGCTGTTACAAGTGCCAAAGAGTTAGGTGAATTTTGAACTCGGAAGACCCTACAAGAATACGGTCGAACGGTGCTCTTCGCTGTAAGAGCACACCTAGACCGCCGGGGAGACCAGTAAAGCAGTCAGAACTATGTGAGAAACTGGGCGGCGTGGTTGCACTGAGACATCTAGTTGGGCGTCGCTACTACCCTCGACCACGTGTTTGCTCCCGATCGTAATGATTGTTCGAACTTCGTTCCGCTCTCCGGTGGGCGTATTTGTCTCTACGCCACGGCAAGAGGAGGGGCCTGGCGGCATCGGGCCGGATTGATATTTGTGCCGGTACTAGATCCGGACCAAGAACGGCCGATCAGCAAGACCAAACCAGGGTCGCCGAAATACATGCCAGAGAGTCATGGATTCAGATATGATTTGGCCCAAGCAACGGAGCCTGGTGCCAAACGGTACTCAAATACAATTCATTTCTCTTTTGGGGCCATCACTTGCAGCATGAACTCACGTACTATTTTCGTCTCACTGAAGCATGGCAGTATTGTTATATTCGACCAATCAACTTTCTGCCTTCAGATACCAAATTTGCTGGTCTGGAACTGAAGCGAGCGCGGGATCAACTGAGGCCTTAATATTACTAACCCAGTCTAAACTTGTCACGAAAACGACGCCGTTAATTACAGACAGCAATTAACGCCTAGTGTACCCTGCAACACCCTGCAATATACCCCCTAGTTTAGCACTATACTACGTACAGGCAAGGTGTGAACTGCAACACTTAAATATCCTCTAACCTTTTGATTAAGTACATCTTGCTAAAATCTAGGTGGTCTAGTCATCACTCTTCCTCTAGGTATTAGACTAGGGGTCTACATAGGAATTAAGCCTACAAGGAGTATGACGCCTAGACGTTAAAGCTACACTTATACTACTAAGGTATAAAGACTTATAGAACTAACTAGGCTTGTAACTGTCGCAAAAACAACGCCATTGATTGCGGGTAGTAATTGACGCTTAACATACCCTGCAACACCCTGCGATAAAACTCGATGATAACAGAGCCAAAACGACGTACGGCTAATCTTATAGGCTATACACCTTGATGGCTTGCTCGCTCTGGGCCGCAAAACACATCCACAACTAGACAACAATGTTGAGTTGAGGTTCGACACACAGGATTGCCGGTAAGTGTATCCAACTGCCGACTCTTCAGCTTCTCCGCATGCGGGAGAAATCCCATCAGTTCTCCTCGCTTCTCGGCTGCATTCCTGCAACTCCACATTTATTAACCGCCTCCAGATCAGCCCCAACCCAGGTGTTGCGCACCAATCGGCACCCATCTCTGAAGCGGGCTCCTCGTTCCACGGGAGCGCCTTATTTGCGCGCAAGTGAATGGGCAACTTGGCAATGCAGCAATGGTTCTTGTGGTTTTGTGTTGATGCGGAGGGCGAGCTCGGGGGAGTCACTGTGCGCCTATCGTCATGACATCAATTCCGAGCAGGCCAGCGAGTATAAAGGTAGTATTCATACAAGTGAGCTTGGAGTGCGGCCATCTGCCCAATGTCATGGAAACCCAAATATGAAGCTTCAACTATCATCGGTGCTACTGGCGATCGTCGCCACGGTCGTGGCGCAGGCCACCTTTTCAAACCCAGTCCTGTGGCAGGATCTTGCCGACGTCGAGGTCATACGCGTCAACGACACGTACTACTACACGGCCTCCACCATGCACTACTCCCCCGGCGCCCCCGTGTTGAAGAGCTACAACCTGGTGGACTGGGAGTTCGTCGGAAACTCCGTTCCCGAACTCATCTTCGGCGACGAGTATTACCTGAATGGCACCTCCCGTGCTTACGTTGACGGCATCTGGGCGAGCAGCCTGCAATACCGCGAGAGCAACGGCCTCTTCTACTGGTACGGTTGCATCCAGTCGGGGGAGATGAAGACTTGGATCTTCACCGCCAGCGACCCGGCCGGGCCGTGGACCGCGCAGCCGCCCATCGACGAGTGCTTCTACGACGTGGGAGTCCTGGTCGACGACGACGACACCATGTACGCCGCCTATGGGAGGTACAACATCAGCGTTGCCCAGCTTTCCTCCGACGGGCTGAGGCCGGTGAGGAAGGAGGTGAGCGTCAATTATTCATTTCCCGAGAGCCCATTGGAAAAACCATTGCTGATCCGAGACTAGGTTGTTTGGGAAGACTCGGTACGGTATCTAGAAGGATCCCGGTTCTATCATATCAACTCAAGCTACTACATCTGGTTGACCAGGCCCGCCGACGGCCAGTTTGTGCTGAAAGCAGATAGCCCATGGGGGCCGTACACAGAGCACACGGTCCTCGACAGGATGGCATCCCCGATTTCGCACTCCGGGACGCCTCATCAGGGCGGAATTGTCGACACCCCCAACGGCGACTGGTGGTACATGGATTTCCTGGACGCATACCCCAGCGGACGCATCCCGGTCCTTGCGCCGCTGACGTGGGATGAGGAGGGGTGGCCTCACATCGTGACAGACGAAGCCGGCGGCTGGGGCAAGACATACCCGGTACCCGTCGAGACCGGCAAGAAGGTCAACGCCGCCGGCGAATACACCGACACCTTTGACGGCCCCGTGCTCTCCCCCCAGTGGGCCTTCAACCACAACCCCGACAACTCGGCCTGGGAGCTGGGCGCCGAAGGACTCACGCTCCGCACGGCGACGGTCACCGACGACCTCTACGGCGCGCGCAACACCCTCGCCCACCGGGTCTTGGGGCCCAAGAGCAGCGGCACGTTCCGCCTCAACCTCGGCAACATGGCCGACGGCGACGTGGCCGGCCTTTCCATCTTCCGCGACGAGTCGGCCTACATCGGCT